TATATAATAATAATAATAATAATAATAATATTATATATATATATATATATATACACACATACATATACAAATATATATATATATAATAACAAGTTGCAATTTTCCCTTAAAAATTTGAATTATAAAGACTTCATTTTGGGGAGTTTGGGAGGAAAAGATCAGTGAGCACCAGGTTTTTAAACCAACAGGGTTTTTAAACCAACAGACAACAAGAGGACACACACAAAAAATAAATAATAAAATAAAATAAAGAAAAAAATTAAGAAAACAACATTGGTCCCCACTTACTTTCACTTTACAGACAAAACAAATACGTTTCAAATATTTTAAAAATTCTATCATTATTTACTTACTTGCACTTGTATAAATAAATAACAGTAAGGGCTCAGACATTTTTTTAAATATCTTATACGTTCCAGAAATACAATGAACGTCATATAGGTTCAGAATGACATGAGGGTGAGTAAATGATTACAGAATTTAAGTGGGTGAAAATGTGAACTTTACAATTCGTAGGTGTGATAATGTTGGACATAAAAAATAAAAAAATAACTAAAACACCACCTAGGTCCTAGACAGTTAATAAAGGTCTGTTTTATAGCAGAGACTTGGACAGTGATTTGGAAGAGGTGAAAAAGGCAGAAAAAGGAGGATAAAGCGACAGATGAAGGACAGGACCCCATGAGTTAGCCTCGTCTGTGCTGCCAGAGTTTCCTTAGGAGAGGATGAAGAGTTCCAGAAAACTACTGGCAGCACAGACTGGAGCAAACAATGGAGGCGATGAAACCTGCATGCACAAAACTGATGGGAAACTGTTCTCAGTGGCTGCACCCATCATGCAGAGCAGGAGCAGAGGCGGAGATGGGGAGGAGGAGGATCTCAGGGCCAATAGGTGGGAGAGAAGTGTTACAAAACAAATGTAATCAAAAAACAAACATTTTGAAAGTAAGGCTCGTTTCACACTAGAGGCATAAGTGGCACATATATTTCCAGCACCCATGTTAACAGATTAGAGCATTCACACTGTGCACTGAAAAGGCATGGCAGTGCCGCTTCCGCTCTACATATGTGCTGCTTCTGTGTTGCTTCAACTCTGCTTACACATCCAGTGTGAAACAGGCATAAGAAACCCAAATATCTCAGTATTTTTTTTTTTCAAAAGTGATTAACCTCTTTCACAATTCATAGCAAGGACAACAGAACCTGAGAAAAAATAAAGAATAAGCACATTTCATGTATCCAAGGTAATAAAGAGAGCCAAAAAACAGACAACTAGAGAAAACACAGTAAAAATGTAGGCTATATGAACTCATGGGTATGTGTAAAATGTATATGAAATCATGGCCACTGAGGTGCTCAAAAGTCTGGCTTGCTTATAACAAGCAATAAGGGGCTGTCCAGGTAGAATATTCTTGTATTTCATGATCACTGTTTTTAAATGTTGTTCCATGTACCAGTGGTGGATGAAGTATACAAATCAAGTACTCCTTTTCAATTTTACTCAAGTACAAAAGTATTTGATTTTTAGCGTACTTAAGTATTAAAAAGTACTGATCGATGACTGTTTATTTTGTAATTTTAACAAATATATTTTTATATTTAATTTTATATTATATATTTTCACACTCTTTAAGCTCTTTTATTTTCCAATGTAACAGAATTACTCCAACGAATCGTTCAGTTTGTAATGCGTACCGAACCGAAAGCCTCGTACCGAATGGTTCAATACAAATACGTGAATCGTTACACCCCTAATATAAATATATATATATATATATATATATGAAGAGTTATGCAAACTATGAATGCTATGCAAACATACTAGTTTGAAACTCATTTGAAAAATAATTTGTGTTATTTTAATGTTGTCTCGTTTTTTCCTAGAAAAATAAATAAATAAATAAATAAAACACACCGTTGAGACAGTGATACACAAATGTGGACACGTCCAAATTCAAGCATTTAAAACAGTACTTTTTGCGCCATCAGTCACAAGTGCACTCAAGCTCTGAAGATCTCCCGGGCTTGGCTCATTTTGAGCCAGACTTGTGAATTCACGTAATTGTTAACTGGAGACTCGCTCTGACCAGATCAACCGATTTAACAGGTTAATTGAAAAGAATGAGTTCAATCACAAATCGGACACTGCTATCTCATCTAGGAGCGGGTGGTGATTTCTCCAGTTTAAAATAACGAGGAACGACATGTTTTTAAGAAATGTAGTGGAGTAAAAAGTACGATATTATGCTTTGGAATGTAGTGAAGTGAAAGTAAAAAATTTTCCAAATAAAAATACTCAGATAAAAATACTTTGTTATTGTCCACCACTGCGATGTACACATCCATTTAAAACCTGAACGAGTGAACAAGCATTAATGTTGAACCCTGCAAACAGACGGCCGCTTTCAAATGCTTGTGTATGTTTTGTATGTGTACACTATAAAGAGCACTCAGGGGTATACAGCTGTGCATGGCTGCATGTGAGTGGTTAAATGAACTCACATTAAAATACCTGTTTGATTCAAATCTTAAATTTAATTAATATTAAATTTTAAATTTAATTGTATTGTATAAATAGATATTTAAAGTTACTTAACCCCTAGTATGTATTTATTTAAAAAATGGAGGACAAGCCGCATCATGATGCATCAAGAATCACGTTGTAATTGAATCAATACCCAATTAATTGTAATCAAAACGTGAGCCAGTGAAGACTCACACCTCTAGTGAACAACCTCCAATGCAACACTCTTTAAGACAACAGTTTATGGTTTAAAGTACCATAATATTAAGATAGCTAGCACCAGTATACCCTGCAAAACTGGACTGTATAGACATGCACTTCTATTTAAGTTACAGTTGATAGTCATGTTTTGTCTACCAAACAGCTGTTGATACTTTTAGGTAGAATCTATACATTTTTTTAATAATTTGTGAATGTATAGCATATGCATCCTCACCCTCTCTCTCCTCCTCGATATGGCTCATTCTGAAGGCCATGACGTTCTTCTCGTAACCCTGATCTCGAACCCTTTCTGCCTCAGTCACCATGGTAATCATTTCTTGCCACTCCATCACCTGAACATCATCTATGCTGCCTGTTTCACTCACCTGTTAACAGAAATATACATATACTGTATTCACAATACAACCCAATTCATATCATATCAGCAGGGCTAGTTAAATACTACTGTTAACTTTTAAAGTGCCATTTGACCACTGTAGTGACATGAACATTAAATACAAAATAAATAAATAAAAAATAAAGCTTTTCCAAGGAGAGACCCAAGGAGATAATGTTATGTTCTGCTATATAAATAAAAGCAACAAGACACAATCGGATGTCCATTACAGTGGTTTAACCAAAGTTTAAATTCTAATGAACACCCCTTCCCTGTGGTAATCACTTTAATGCACAAACTCGTGTGGTATATTTCTTTTATAATTAAGTCAAAAAAGCAAAACAAATAAATATATAATTGCCTGTGATGCTGCTCTCTTGGTCACCTGCTCCAGGTCGGCCTGCATCTTCCTCTGCTGTTCCTTATATTCCATAAGCTGCTTCTGCAGTTCATCTATCAATGTTTTAAGAAAATCTTAACATAAGACAACATGCAATTTAAAGATGGGCACAAGTACCTGCATACTCAGGTGCTTGGAAGTGAAAGTAATGATCATCAAAAGTAATCATCAAAACATTAATCAATGAATGACTTCTCACTGAATTACAAATTCTATACACAAAAACTTCACAAAAAATGTGTCAAAAAGAAGCATCACTTTAAATTTTGGGTAATTCCATCTCAAATCAACCAAATTTAGACTTCAAATAGAAATGTGCTTTATTAGCTTTAAGGGAATTATTTATGTCAATGTCACAGCTTTAATTATTATGCTTTTTTTTTTTGCATAGTAAAATAAACCCATAAAATAAAATAAATCCATAATAAGCTGTACTCTTTTTTTTATGCCAAATAATTAAATAATAATAAATATTATATTTATTTTTATTTATTTATTTAGTCATTTAGCAGACGCTTTTATCCAAAGCGACTTACAAATGAGGACAATAAAAGCAGTCAAAACTAACAAAAGAGCAACAATATA